TCAAAGTTGCATACAAAATTTTACTAAATTAATGATAAATTTGTCGAATAATGTCAAAGGGTAAAAATATGGATTAACAGAATCTTACAAAAAAAACGTGAAGTAAACAAGCAAAATTCATTATTTTTCACTTAATTTGGTGACTTTTCGGTATATTTTTGTCTAAATATTTCGAGATAATTCCGTCTCTTACTGAAAAATATGGTGTTAATATGAAAAACCGTTTTCGAAAAGTCGATGAACTAGCTTCAAAATTACACCCAGTAAACAAGAAAAAAAATCTTTTAAATGAGAATGTTAATTTTTGGGACAGCATAAAGTGGACTTTTTTATATTGTGTCGTTAGAATTTCATTTATAAATATTTTGTTAAACTTGAAATATCTTTATAAAGCAATATTTATCACAAAGTTTATATTAGAAAATAAAGCTTTTTTTGGTACATAACACTTTTATCAAGGATGAAGGGGTCATGTACATTTGATCGGTCGAAGTCGCCCCGGCTGATAACACCTAAACTTACTTCTTTTTTTCAAAAAGTAAATATTTAAGTAATAATATTCATTCTTGGCTTTCTTAATAAATGTATCAATTTTTTTTAGCACAAATGCTACCAAATTTAGTTTTTCAAATGGAACACTTATGTTTTTCCTCCAAACAATAATAACTGACGTGAAAAATACTGTAAATCAGTATTTATTACATTTTGCATAACACAATGCAATCAAAAAACATCTTAAATCTTAGAATTTTATAAGAAAATTGGTCGCGTAGCCTGATTTTTAATTTTAAAGGAAAGGTGTGAATAAAAAAATGCTTGGATACAGTTTAATTGTTGGTTTGACAAATCTAATTTGTCAGTTGATGAGCGAGTTCTCTTATGGAAACTCTTGGATTTTCTTCGACTAATAACATTCAGATTTCTATTTTCTTGTTCTTCACAAAGAACCACAGGTTTTTTTATTTTTAAGAAGCGAATCTATTCGTCTCAGTTGTTTTTCAATTCGACTAAATTTCCAACTCTATTTGAGTATTTTTCTATATACTGTCTTTCAACTTCCGCTCTATTTTCTTAAAAAACACTTCAAGCTGATCTACCAATTCGTCGTAATTATTATCATCCATTATTAAAGATCTCAATAAGATTTATTGACAAATTAGGCTTTGTCAAACTAACAATTAAACAGTATCCAAGCATAGCTTTTTGCATGAATACCTTGACAAGTAAAATCCGCCTATGTTGCAAAATTTGCAATAAAATTCAAAAATTTAAATTGTTTTCTGAGTGCATTATGTAAAGTAAAATGTAATAAATAGTGGTTTACCGTATTTTTCATGCCAATTATTATTGTTTCGAGCAAAAAAAATAGGTGTTCTATTTGAAAAACTAAATTTGGTAGCATTTCCGGCTACACCGGATGTGTCAAAAAAAATTGATACATTTACTAACAAAACGAGGAATTAATAGTACTATTTAAAAAATTAGTTTTTGAAAAAAAAAGTAAGTTTAGGAGTTATCGGCCGGGGCGACTTGGACCGAACACCCTGTATATCATGTGATTTTTTTTATCAAAAACAAATTGGAAAAAGTACCAGCAAATTAAATTAAAATGCTTATAACTCCGAATACAAGGTGATTCTTTTAGGGCCTACATTAGAAACTTTTTAACTTCGAATGCAGATAGGAATTTGAAATTTTGTACACAACCCAAATCAACCAGTCTGAGTTCAACAAAATTATTTTCAAAATGGCTGAACTTCCGGAACTATGAGAAATTGGCGTCAACTTTGAAATTTTAAATGGTAACCACTTATTTTTATTGCATTTTTAAAATCTCCTGTCCAAACTGAGTAGAATGTACCTAGTTGTTAGTACTTATCTGTCATAGTTTTTGACATATGTCAATTTTTTGGTCAAAATTTTCACTTGCAGGGGTTTATTCAAAACATCACAGCTCTTGAACCCTTTGCGATAAGTAAATATTTTTTTTACATTCGATAACCAAAGGTTCGAAAAGTTTCCTAAAATTTTCAAAATTGTCGACTGTCAAATTGCAAGGCTAGTTTGATTTTTTGAAAATGATCATTAACAAACAGCTATAACTCAGTTTTTTTAAATGAAATGACTCTATTTTCTCAATGGCAATCAAAAGTATATCAATTTGTAGAAGGACTTTTATCAACATGTCCTATACCTATCTCTTACAGTTTTTGAAATAATCACAAAAAACATGTTAATGTTTTTATTTTTATAGTTAATCACGTAGGCTTTGGAAAAATACAATAAAGATATACCATAATTAATACAAATGTTCGATATGTTTACCATTTTCAAACAGTCCAAAACTCGATGGTGAACTGATTTGAGAGGCTTCCATTATTTCATTTGGTTGAAGATTATTAAATGCCGCCAATTCTTGCTATAATTCTTCGTAATTCCGGATGAGTGTTGTGTAGACTAATAAATTTTTAATACGTATTGATCATTACGTAATTTACTATAAAAATAAAAAACAAAAACACGTTTTTGGTGTTTATTTCAGAAACTGTAAGAGCTGGATATAGGACATGTTGATAAAAGTCCTTCTACAAATCCATGTACTTTCGATTGCCGTTGAGAAAATGGGGTCATTTTACTTGAAAAAACTGAGTTATAGCTGTTTGTTAAATATTATTTTCAAAAAATCATATAAGTTTTGCAATTTGACAGTTGACAATTTTAGGAAACTCTTCGAACCTTTGGTTATCGAATGCAAGAGCTGTGATGTTTTTAATAAACCTCTGCAAATGAAAATTTTGACCAAAAAATTGACATATGTCAGAAACTGTGACAGATAAGTACTAACAACTAGGTACATTTTACTCAGTTTGGAGAGGAGAATTCAAAAATGCAATAAAAATAAGTGGTTACTATTTAAAATTTTAAAGTTGGCGCCAATTTCTCGTATTTTCGGAAGTTCAACCATTTTGAAAATAATTTAATTGAACTTAGACTGGTCGATTTGAGTTGTGTAGAAAATTTCAAATTTCTATCTGCATTAGAAGTTAAAAAGTTTCTAATATAGGTCCTAAAAGAATCACCTTGTATAGGTTAATGCACTCACCCCTTCAATTGTTTTCGAAACGCAATTATCGAAGCAAGTTTTACCAACATTTATTAGTCGTTAAAAAATGCAAAGTGATTTACCTGCATTGCTGAAACTCGTTCCCTCACAGCTTGGATGAAATCATCGTGTCCTGCAATCGGACTCGTTACTACTGAAAATTGATGCCACTTATATCTCTCTAATATGCTCAGCATTGCAGCTGTTTGATGTTCCAACGATGGGGCTAATTGAAGTTGCAGGGAGGATTGTGATGCTCTCCTTTCCAATCCTGAATTATCCGCATTCCATGCTATGACAGGTACCCCTAAGTAGCCTGCTAATTGAAGGAAATATTGGGCAGATGCCGTACTTCGACCGTATTTCTCGTAATTCATTAAGTATAAAATAGCTGATACATTAACCGAAAGGAATTCCTTGCAGAGGGACTTGAGAATTGCTGAAAAAGAAAAATGCTTGTTAAGAAAAGTTGAGCGATATAAAAGAATTTTGAGGAAGAAAAAAACAGTTTTATGGTACCTATATGAGTTTTTTCACCAACGAATTAGACTTCTGGATGACTCAATGAGCCCCTTTTTTAGTAAAAAAGACGTGGAAAATTATGACGGTTTTTGTTTTTTCAGAGTAAAATTAATTGGTAATTATTTAATTAAAATCACACAATTGTGTTTTTTTTTTCAGATAAACGAAACGCTGGAACGTGCTATTAATAATTTGAAATAAAATGAAAATGTTAAATTTTGACAGTTTGGACATTTTTCATAAAAACATACTAAAAAATTTGACCACTTTTTTCTCGGTAAAAAACACATCAAAAATATTATTAAATACTATCGAAAAAAAACCTCATTTTTGTAAAAAAAATTGGATCTTAGAATTTTGTTGTTGAAAATGACAAGAAACTTCAGCTAAAATAGTTATAGTATTATTTAAAATAAACCCTCTTAGTTTAGGACGCCCCTGATTAAAAATTTAATCAGCTGTACTAAATTTTGTAATTTTATCTAAAATGGTTTCAATATAAAAAATAATTGTTTTAGTTCATTTACTTTACTGTAAATAAAAACTCAAATTTTGAATAAGACTTCATCGAGACAAGATAAAAAATCACGAAATTAAATCGAGAATGATGTTATTTTTTACTTTCTCAAACGTTTAAGAAAGTTCTTCAGCCAGTAGTGCAATTTTTTGCAAAATTTTGTCCAAACTAGTCAAAAAATCGATAAAAATTGTGCTATTTTTGCTTTTTTTATCAGCTAAATACATTTTTGAGTTAATAAACTGAGTTTTTTGCTAAAACAGAGCAAAACTTACTCAATTAGATCGAAAATGATAATATTTTTGCCGTTTCAATTATTTTTTAATCTTCTTAGTATAAAATTTTGCTCAAAAAGGCGAAAAAGCTACCAAATTAGATAAAAAATTATGCTATTTTTGACATTTTTGGGAGTAAAGGCATGTTTTTCAATAAAATTTTTCGCAAAATTTCGCTAAAATAGGACACAAAATCACTAAACTAAACTCAAATTACCGTTCTATTTTGGTTTGTTTCACTGGATTTCTAAAAACGTACTATTTAAAAAAATATATTCACACGCAAAAAACGAAAAGTTAGTACACCTTTTAACACTTTTTAACATATTTTTAAAGTAAAAGCTGTTTTTTTAAGATTTTGCAAAATTGTGGCCAAAAATGACAAAATTTAGTCAAAAATAACATTATTTATGACTTTTTTAGTTAAAAATGCACTCTTCCCTTCCGACATTTTGCTCAAGCAAGCCGAGAAATCTCCTAATTAGACAGAAAATGGTGTTTTTTTCTATTTTTGAGTAAAAGTTTTAATTGCAATACGTTATACATAATACATAATATATTCTTTGCATCTATTTTCAAGCGAATAAAAACGTTTTCGAGCCAAAACTGATTCTTTTTTCCCAAAATTTTGATAAAATAGCTAAATTAGAGGTCGAAAACAAAATTATTCTTGCCTTTTTCAAGTAAAATTTTACCCAAATGGGCCAAGAAATTAGCAAATTAAATTGTGGCTGAAGTTTCTTGCCACTTTCAGCAACAAAATTCTAAATTCTATAATTTTTCACAAAAAAGAGGTCTTTTGCGTTTTTTCAGAGGGTATAGCTCCTTTATAAAACATTTTTTGATACATGTTTATAGGAAACTTGGCTTAAAATTTAATATTTTTTTGCTTGTTCAAATTTGTAACAATAAAAACGAAACACCCTGTATTTTAAAAGAATAACAAAGGAATAGTATTTTTTTATAATTCTTAATGACCACAAATCATTGTTATTACTACGAAAAAAATGACTTTTTTATTTGGTCAGAGATTTTATTTAATTTTTAATCAAAAATATGGTTTCAAATGATAAAAACTAAAGCTAAAAAGTTAAATAAGTAATTGTCAAGAAAATTCGTTAAATAAATAAATTTTGTTTTAATTAAGACACTATAGGTGTTATATTAATTTTTTCACCAACAAGGTAAAAAATCACTAACTAATCATTATTATATCGAGTAAGATAAAATAAACTATATCAAATAATATAGCACATACCACATTGTAACCATTTCCATCATAAAATTGTACTACTTCTACTCATATCTAAGGAATAAACAATAACATTATTAAAACCCATAAGAGATAATATTGTATTTCTAGTACCACTTTTTGATACTTTTTTTTAATTTGCTTTTTTTTCTATTCAAAATTTTGTCTTAAAAATTGTCAATTTCACTTCATTGGACAACTATTTCACTTAATTAAAACAAAGTTGTTTTTTAAGTGGTTAATGTTTCTAATTACAAATTTCTCAGCTTTCAGTATTGTATTTTTGGTAACAACGAAACATCTATATAATTTTCTTAATGAGAAAATAATATTTCTGGTTTCGATATTGATTCAAGCGCTAAAGTTCTACCAGGTCACTTGGAAGCCTTTTCGAAGATTAAGAAGCTTTACAGCAGATCCCCACACATTCAATAAAAAAACTCATAAAAATCATCGTTATAAAAGCTCGTTCTTTATTACTCAACTGAACTGTAAGGTGTGTGACAAGGAATCAATTTAATGTTGCCGCCGCCAACAAACATGAGCAAACGGGAAAACAACCCAAAGCAAGAAACCAAAAATGACATATTTTCACGCTAGAAAAACCACCAGAGAAAAATTTCAAGCAAGATACCAGGGACATGGAAAAAAGGTTTAAAAAATTCTCTGTAAAAAATTTTGACATCTATGTTCTGACATTTGACATTTTTTATGTCTATTTATGTTTTTTTTTATAATTAATTGGTAAAGATACAAAAATTTTGCCAATAAAAGTTGCAATTTAGGATACAGCTTCTTTGTTTCGTCTTCTATCCCTGGTAATTATTTCCTTTAAATAAAAAGCTTAAGCCTCTTTTTTTAGTTTTTTTTTTTGAGTTTTGCATTTGATTAAAAATAGATCAAAAGTCACACCAGTTGACAAAATATTCTGAAAAATCAAAAATGTAAGAAAAAAAACATCTTATTTCTCTCTTGTGTCCATGTGGAGAAAATGCGAGAATTGAAATGGGAGAATTCTGAAAAAAGCGTACGTCAAAAAATCCTCTAAAAAAGAAAAAGTTGAAAAAAAAAATTTCCAACAGAAATAAATAGAGTCAAAGTGCAATATTTAAACTCTCATAACTTCGAAATTTTTATAGATAGAATTTTTTGTCTGGGGCCCGATTTCTGGCGCACGCTGTATTTTGCACAACTTAATTGGTTTCGATACTCAATTACTAACAATAAATGGAGCTTCGCAAATTGGATTGCAAAACTATTCCATGTGTGTTTCATTGTGTGCTTCATTTACTAAATGTGTCCCTAAAGTGACTAAAACGGCCCCAAATCATAGCAAATACAATTACAAATAAATTTATTTAGTGATAGTTTATTGACAGATTCTAACACAAGATCCTGGTGATAATGGAGATACTACAAAACCACCAATAACAGTCTGATTATTATCAAAGATAAAATTCACTGTAGCGCATGATTGTGGGAGCAAATTTGGAATCCTTCGCTTTCCTTGACCCTTGTCTCGGATCAATTTCTCCTGGAAGGATCCTGTCGACAAAATTAACTTTCTTTGTTCTTTTATTACTATTAGAAAGTACTTAAATAAAACTAGTTTGTAATTTTATAAGCTTTCACCTTGCGAAAGCCTCGCCTACATTATTCTAACTTTGGGAGAAAAACTCAAAGTTAGCGGTGGCTAAAAGTTTCACACCTATAAAATTTAGTTAGGAAAACTACTTACTTTGTAGCTGTAATTTGTTTTGATCTAGGCATCTTCCAAAGTGGGAAACAATGTCTTTAAATCTTTCGGAAACCACTTATCCAATTTACAAAATGTAAGGTTATTGTTTTCTGGACATTTTATTACAAAAAAAATAATTTGTTATTGTTAAATTGTTAAATAAACAATGGAATTTTGCATTACAACTCGTGATTTACAAATGAAAAAACATCTTTTCCATTTTTTTGTAAAATTTTCTATAAAAGGCTTATTTCATTTATGCACTAGTAAATAAAACAAACTAAAAACTATACAAACACTAAACAAAAATTCTGTCGATAAATACATAAAATATTGAGAATTGGCGTCTTGTTACAGAAATGCTAAAATTGCATTAAAGTTAAATTAAAATTAAGAAAAACTACTTAAGTAGAAAATACAGGAATTAAAACAGTAAGAAAATAACAAAAAGTAAAAGAGAAAAACTAGAAGTTCAAAAAATGTATTTTTATCTTTTTGCGAAAATTGTTCACTGACCAACCAACCAAGTTCTTTTATTTTTTGAGATACATGGTCAAATTTTCTTAATTTGTAAATAAAACGGGAGTACGAATTTTTTTTGTAATTTATGTTTAGATTATTAATCTAAACATGAATAATAAATAATGAAACCATAATTAAGGTTGGAAAACACCAATGACTCGCATAGTTTTTTTTGAAGTTTAAAATTCAAAATGTGATAATTGGAATATAACATTTTTAAAACAAAATAAGTTGACATGTTCTCTAAATCGTAATTCCGAATCCATTATGATTCCAAAATTTTTTACACTATTTGAGATACCTATTTTCATATTACCAATTTTGAGATTAATTCCCGAGTTGATTTTTTTATTTCTTGTGGAAATGCAAATTGATGAACATTTACTCGAATTTAAATTCAAACCAATGCTTTTATACAATAAGAAAATTTCATTTAAATCTTGATTAATGGTGGTATCACCTTTATCCAAAGCTCTAAAGCAACCATCAAGAATTTTTCCGAGGGCTCAAATGACGAAATTAATTTTTCAATGATTAAAGAACAAAATGTTCAAGTTTTTTTGTTTTTAAATTACAACAACTGCCTATTAAAAATGTGTACAGAGTGGTCAAA